GAATCAGTCACGTGGGAAGGGCCGGGCCCAGCAACAACAGCTCTGACGCGAACGAACATAATTGCGCGTAATTATCAAACCCGCATCCAACACGGACAAGTAAATCACGGCAATCAATGAGTTAAACGCGAAGTTGCCAATAGAGGAGAATATGCAAGTTTCAGGAAGCAGTTCAAAATCTGTCGAGAATCCTTAATCATATGTAATTGTAGGAAAGTCGGAGCCATGCGCAGATAAGGGTGATACATACACCGGTTGCCTGGTATTTATAGTTCTTAGCGGTCATCCACATGCATACTATAATAGTCAGTTCCCGTAGCCACCGCTCGAGGTCTTAATCGGTTCGGTTCATTAATTGCCACACTTTGCTTGCAGCATCGGATGCGGGCTTAATAATTGCAGGACAATTATGCCCGCTGTCGTCATAGTTGTTGTTGCGCCTGGTCCTTTCCACGTGACTGTTTCTGTTGCTCAAAAAATCTCTCAGTACACCGTATGGGAAAGCCAAATCGTTGCACTTTTTGATGCACTGGGGGCCTGAGAACCATCATCTGAGCAGCTCGCGGATCACGCGGTTGTCACATCTTGCCTCATCAAACTGGAAAATATGGCCGGGTCTGGTCGAGTGAGCCGCAACCACGGGCCCCGGCCATATTTTAAAGTTTGACGAGGCCGAAGTCATCCATACGGATAATTCTAGACCGATCCGCGGTTTTTAAAATTTTTAGGTATCCTAACCCTATTGTCTTTAACAATCTTGCGAAAAATTGGGTCTCTCTACAAGTTCTGAATGAGGATTCGGTTAAGGTCACCTGTGGTTCTATTTAGATTATGCATCCTTTCACCCTTTTTCCAAATAGAGTATTTTCTTTTGCAAAGCTGGGTATGACCTTGTTTGCCAACTTCTCTTTCATATTTAAATAAAAGTCGTAATCTTAACACGACCCATTACTTAACCTATTTCTGCTCTCCGTGAATGGAGCCATTTTTTTCGCTGAAAATTTATGAGGTTTATTCATAGATAAAGCAAGATTCTTTTCTTCTTCTTCTTAATCGCATTCGACCTTTGCTTTTAAACCATAATTTGCAGTCCATAACCGGACAACTTATGAATTTCTACATTTATTCCGTTCATAATTATCGTCCCCTTGATATTTTTCTGTTTTGAATGAGCGGTATTTTTAATTATAGGTCCTACGTTTGTGTGCTCTTTTTGGGTGTCAGTACTTTTTAAGTTTCGTAGGAGTAGTTGTCATAACTCAATGAAAAATGGAGTATATTAATCCATTTTCTGACCACATTCTCGAGGATTTTAGATCTCCCTTCATTCTGAACTAATTATTCTACGTTCCCTCCTTCAAACCCCACCGGTCTCCAGCACCCAGTCCCTCACAAGTCTGTCTAACAACAACGACCCTAAGAAGGTGATTGCACGACGGCCAATGCCTTAATCTACATATCCAGAAACTGAATTCAGATTGGTACCCGAATAGTTGTGGGAACTTGCCGCAGTGACTCTGCTTTCACCCTGCCAGTGCTTACACCCGTGATTAGTCAACTACTCCG